AAGATCATACTTCGCGAGAGTTCGCGAAAGTTAAACATGGGGTTCGCGAAAGTAATCTTTTTTTTCGCGAAGAGGCACTTTCCAGATGAAAGGAATTTAGATCAACCACCATGTCTTCTCACTCTCTGACGCTGACGTGCAGATTTTTTTTGGCAAAACTTCCTATGCAGGAGTCGCCCGGGCAACGGCAAGCCATAGTCTCGCATACAGTCTCCTGCAACTGTGATTTGTGAAAAGATTGATCCCAGGGTTTGAATGTCATTGGCCGGTCCCAGCATTGGACCATATTGGACCTGTGGCCGGCTTCAGGTGGTCTTCGATTTCGCCCGGGACTGAAAAAGGTGGAAGTGGGTCAGGATAGCAGCAGGGTTGACACTTTCAACCTGTCTCAGAATCCAACAATTGAATGTTGAAAAACGACCTTTTTTTGGCCAGCACAAGGCTTTTGGCAGCATTTGATGCAACTGGCCATTCATTGCCCGATGTTGCACCATCAGATTCAAATACATGACATCCTAGCCCGTGTTTAGCACGCCATTCATGGGCTTTTATGGAGATGCCATGTTGTTTCGGGTCTCGGTCTAGAGTTCAGTTCCTCATGCGATCCCAAGTGGAGCAAGGATCAGACGTTGAGCGTCGTCCACGTCTACAATTCCATCGTGTGGTGCCCAGAAAGAGGTTGTTCATACAGTTCAGGGGATATGCCCCCGGATGCGTGGAAGATAACGAAGCCAAAAAGACACGATCCCCCATCGTTGTCCTAATTCCTCGTTGATCGCCGCAGAGAGGCCAATTTTGCAAACTTTGGGTGGTGGAAGAACAGATGCCAGCCCTTCAGCGACTGCGGACAAGGAACACGCTCTTAGTTGTTCGTATTTTTGCAATATCATGTCAGAGGTATTTCCCAAGAAATAAGGACATGATATGAAATGATGCAATTGTGCCCTGCTGCTTGCCTCATGGTGAACGCCCACCGGACGCTGATCTGAGGCTGGTGGGAGGGAGGTGTGGCAGCTACCAGCCCCACATGCTTGCAGTGAGGTGGGTCAGTTGGAAGCTGAGACATCCATGTCGACATGAACTTGGATCTGCGATTTCGGGCTTTCACCCCCACTGTTAGAGATGGTCTTTGTTGAAGTCGCAGTAGCTCCCAGCTCGATTGAGCTCGAAGTAGGTCGGACGTTACAGCCGAGGCTGGCTCGGATTGCCAGCTTAGACCGACATCCACAACTGCAACAGCAAGGCGATGGGCGATGGACCGAGCAGCCTAAACAGAGCATTTGTTGGACCAGCCAAAAAACAAAGGATCAAATACGTCTTGACTTTGTTGTGAAATGGGATGTGGAAAACTTCGCTGCAACCTGGTAGCTTTGCCAAGCAACACCTCATGTAGCTGGACTCACCCAAACATACCCAAGCTCATCAACTTGACACTGAATGTTTTAACAGATTTTAACACTCACCTCTGCTGCGGGTGCCCCTGCTGAAGACGGTAACTCCTCAGCTCCTCGGCTCTTCCTCCTCAGCTCCTCGGCTCTTCCAATCCCGCTGGGGATCACCGAAACCGCCCGAGGGAGGCGGCTTCCGTCGCCGCAGGCGGTTTTGCCGTGGCGGCCTTCGGTGGCGTGGAGCGTGTGCAGCGCCTCGCGTCGATGCTGGACCGGGCGATCCGCGCGGCACGGGGCGGTCTTTGGACATTTACATTTTGTGGGACCAGGACATGGGTGGACGATGGTGGCTGCAGGATGGACATGGGTGGACGATGGTGGCTGCAGGATGGACATGGGTGGACGATGGTGGACATGGATATCGCCACCCCCAACAGGCCTATGATCACGCGAATTCACAGCACTTTGTTTGGGGAGACTGGGCGAGTGACCGTGTATATATAATAACAAAGAAACTCAATAATAAAAAACATAGTAATATGATAATATGTGTTTAACAACATCTTATTCGTTTGCCAGCTACACAGCCCGCCGCCATGGTTTCGGTGTCCACTGTAGGCATCCCCGCTCTTGCATAGATTTGGATTGAGTTGCCTGTGAGCACTTTTGATCAAACAGTCCTTCCATTGCAAAACCGGTGGACAAGAATTTCAGCCATGTCGTTGTTGCTTGCGGGCATCAGGCGAGCTTTGGGGAGTGTTGCTTTTCCGGTGAGGGCTATGTGTTCTGCTGCTTGCAAAAAGGCATCCTTTCATGATCAATATGTGCAGTTGCTAAGCTTCGGCTTCCTCAGCTGCGTTATACCTACTGTGACCTGTTGGAGAACCAACTCCAAGCAGGTGGAATGCAAGGCATTTTCCAAATACCTTGTGCCACCCAAACGGGAAGTTCGAGGAGTGCATACACAGGTCAGAGAGCTATTTCACATTACAAGATTTGGGAAAGAGATTGAGAACTCAGGAGAAATGATGCGCGGAACAACCGGTGCTGTGGGTGGGGGTATTTATTTCGCTGCAACACGAAAAGAGTGCGAATGCAAAGCCAAGACAAACGGATACTTGGTCCGCGCAAAAGTCTTTGTTGGAAGAGCTAAGTGCGTGGATATTAATCTCGGGTCAGCTCAGGGATTGTTGCGGCTGTTCCTCATGCTTGGCGGTGCAGGTTTCGTACAGATGTTGCAGCCCCTGGTTCCAGCTTATTTGCTTGGAACCCTGATGGGATTGGGCAGCCTTGCGTTTGTGGATCCATCCGCTGTGATTGCCATGACCATGCTTGCAGCACTGGCTGCTTGGCTTGCTACAGCATCATCCCAAGTGCGACAACAGGCTGCGCTCAATGCCATCAATGTGCTATTGCAATTGCCTGTGGGCGCCCCAGAAAATGAGACGTTCTGCAAGCTATATGCAGAAGGCTATGACTCCGTAGAACTGCATGGATTTTCCTCAGGCACCGAGTATGTGGTCTACAACAAGGACCAAGTGGAGATCTTGGATGTGACAAAGGTTCAGTAGCCAGAAGGGCTACTGGCATGCATTTGCGGAGGAGAGGTGGTGGCGATAGTAGGATGTGGCAGGGCGGTACGGCATGCTGCTTTGAGTTTGACAGTGCCACATGTGCATTTGTGCGGTGAGGATCTATATATTGAGTACAAAAGGCCGTTCAAGTATTTTTGGAAGCTTTGACCTGCAGCGTGAGATGGACCAGCTGCACTGAAGGTCAAGCATTTAATTCTGCTTCGTATGTTGTAAATCTCGTACTGGCGGGCGTCATTTGTGACAGTCGAGATAACCAATCGAAGTCAACTCATCAAATCAAGCTTGGTGCAGAATGAAAGCCAGCCCTCGAAGCAAGCGCACAAAGAAACCGGGAAACCATGAAAACCATACCACGGCTTCACTCCCTCAACTCACGCTCGAACTCTCAACCAAACATTCTGTACACTCACCCTCAAACCCTCCTTCTGTAAACCCAGCACATGGAAAAGCCTACACTTGGACAAACTGAAGTCTGACAAAATCAACATTGGCATATAGTCAAATGCAAACAACAAGAACCAATGCGGGCATTCCCAACTCAATTATATATATAATATACGTATATATTATGCTTGTTTGGACTTCATGTCTGCTGCATTTTTTTCGACGGAAACTCTGTCTCAAGCACTTTCGAGGCTTCGCGTAACCGCGGGCCGGCCATTTGAGAGACCGTGAATCCATCTCGACTCCAGTGATGTCACCGACTGTAGGCACTGAACGTTTGAGGTTCACCCACCCCATCCAAGCATAAGGACGCCTAGTCCGAAGTGCAGGGATACTCATGATGAAGAGAACATGAACTTGATCATTCCTGGTGGTCCAGCCTGATGGTGCTTGTTTAGGCCCACTCACCATGAGTGTGGGTTGCGAAGGCGTTCTGTGAATAGGAGCAGCTACGACAAGGTGGAGTTGAATGTATCATTTGCTCCAGAGGCGCGTTCCGCGGAGCTGCAGAGGTCACGCAGCCAAGCTTACCAAGATGACTCCCCAATTCACTAGACTCAGACCCTTATTAGAATATAGACTCAGACCCCTATTAGAAAATATTAAAATATAGTGTATTAGAACGTTTGATCAGTGCATGAATTCTTCAGTTCACCAACAAGGACACTTACGAGATCTTACGAGTGTTCTCCACCTTCGTGGGGGCACTTGATTCCACCGAATGCCGGACGTGTTCTCCATCTCCCAGGCCTGGTGGGGCCGCTCCAAAAGCTTTTGGACCAACTTGGACTTCTCCGGTATTTCTCTGAGGCCTGGCCCTGACCGTTGCTCCGAGGTATTTGATGCCGTCTTCAGGGAAATGGGGCCTGAAGATTGGGTGAATCTCAGTGGAGAACGACCGCTGAAGAGCATTGGAGATGTTTGTGCAATGAAAAAGTTAATCTGCGTAGGGAAGGACCATATCTGGAGCTTGGGGGGAGTTCTGTGGTTGCCTTATAGGGTTGCAACATATGCGCGGTGAATGAGAGCTTCAAGTGGCTTCGGACCCACTGACCGCCACCAGCCCTGCAGGTTTATGGCAACATCGGCGAAGCTTACGGGCAGATGAGTGTTGGACTTGGAGTCAGCTGGGATCTGCTGGGCTGTTGGTGGAGAACTGGATTCTTTCAGTGAGTGTGCCAAGAAACGGGAACTCCAAAACACAATGGTTTTGTTTTCAATTGCAGTCCGGCTTGGTGGATCTTGGTGCTACCGAGTTGGAGCCGCGCTCACATCAAAGAGCCAGTCCGGTCGGTGCGAAATCACTCGCTGCGACTCATCGGGCTCAAGGGTATAGCCAAACCAAAAAGGTTGACGAAGGACCAGCAGATGCTTGAACATCGAGGGTGGACCCTTTTCTTATTTTGGTGTCAATGGTTTTGATCAGTACCTCATGAGGCCCCATAGCATGATTTCAACCACTTCAGATCCCTTCAGCACCTTTTGAATCCTTTTGACATCTTCAGGAGTTCTTGGTGTGAGAGTGTGATCTGATTGGGGATGCAAAACAAACCGTTTGGAACGAGCAACAACCGTGCCTTTTCGACCCGTCAGAGAATCCGCCGTCGATTCATGGCCTCCAAGCGCCCACGCACGGGTCATGAGTCCTACTATAGCCCCTTGGGCGCACATGAAGCGCAGAGATGATGTGCGGTCCAAATGGGTGGAGCGAAAGGAATCACTGGGCAACCAAGATGTTAATTCTGATGTTCGGTAATCTTCGGGCTTAATGAAGTAGCCCAGATAAAACATATTTGAGAGATGTTGCCACAGAGTGTACCTTCAGAATTCTTGGTGTATAAGAGCCTTTTGCTGGTTGAGCCATGGATGTTTGTTTGTAAGCATGTGCTTCCGGGCACACACTCTCCAACCTTATTCGCCGAGGACAGGTGGATGGGGTGAAGTGTGACCGAGCTTTGCTGGAGGCCGCCGAGCGGGCGGCCAAACATGGTGCCATCTCCTTGTCGGAGGCCATGGATCTCTGGGAGAAGGCGAAGGATGGCAGGGCACCCCAGAGGGAGTTGCAATCCGCGTTGCGGTTGATGGAAGAGCTCTCCTTGATATAGAAGGCTATCACACACAGCAACTAGGAGTATCTTTCACTTCGCCCGTTTGGAAAGTTGCTTCGGATGAACCCAACGGGCAAACCCTCCACCGCGACCTCGACGGCACGGCGTCAGTCGTTTGGACGCCCCGAATTCTGAGCGAGGCAATCGGATCACGGCCGTGGAGCGACAGACCTTGGGCTGGGTGCTGGAGCACCTGCAGTTGACCGAAAAGGCCCGAGCACCTTTTTCCGGATCCTGGTGGTTGAAAAGGTGGTTGAAAAGGTTGAGAGAACATGAGAGAACTGGGTCGTTTTTGTTGAAAACGAGTCTAGTCTGACCCAAAGTGGATCTTGGCAGTGTGAGACTTGATGCGACATGTTTTTGCTGAAGATTGACATACTCTTGATGATGACAAACAGGGTGCGAGCGGCATGCTTGCTTTTCACTTCACATGTTGTTCCCTTCCTGGTTTTGGAGCAGATTCGTCCAAGCCCCGAAAAAGGCCAAAGCCTTCCTGGAGCAGCAGCTGAGCGATGGCTGCTGGGTCTTTGATTCAGTCAGAAGGGGATGTGGAGGACCTGGGTCAAAATAACACTGCCCAAATGTTGAACGTCCCCAGTTTTCTCTCTTTCTTTTTTGGGGAGACCTTTTCCCTCAATTTTGAGGAGTTTGTGGCTTGGGCGGGGGGCATGGTGCAGTTTTGCGTTTAATGGAACCTCCACTGCACGCGTGTAGAACGGAAAATACCTTAAAACCTCAGTCTTAAATCATCTAAAACCAATATGACCTATCTTGTGAGACCAATCCAGAAAAGCGGAGCCACTTCAAATTGACTTGAACAAACAGAAGTGTGGCACACCGGCACTCAGCTACAGTAGCAGGGCTGAGTTTCAAAACAGGCCCGGGTCTCCAGCAGATGCTCATGACATTGACATCCTCTCATATATATTATATATATATATATCAGCGTTGCCAGTACGCCAATTGGTTTGTAGACCTTTGATCTACTGCTGGAAACAAATAGTGGTCGGGTCTCCTTCCAAATCGGCAAGCATAGTAGAAACCACTTCAAGCGGGGTTCCGAGAGGGCGTTCTGTTTGGTTCCTGACCCTGGAATTGTGGGGCGATCCAGCTCGAAGGCTCTTACTACACCACCATAGGCCACACCAAGTACAGCCGTGGCCTGCTGGAGAAGGCGGAAGGCTTCGCTGCTGAGCAAAGCATCTCTCAGCAACAGGCCTGGCTGGCCTGGCAGATCTTCCCACATCGATAGGTGTGGAATTTTGAAGTTGGTGAGGGTGTTCATCCCGGAAGAAAAATGAGGCTATAGACCATAGCAGAGGATGCGGATGCAGAGACCTGTGGAAGGGAGCAATATGTTACGGCTACAGCTTCAACGAAAAGGGCGACCCACCAGGAACTGGTGCATCGACGATTGGGTGGACATAGGTTTCTCTGAGAATGGAAGAGCTCCAAAACAAGACTGGGCTCAAATCCACCGGTACTTATAAACATCTCTGGAGACTTCTATGACCAGCTGAAGATCACACGTTCATGGCCCACCTCCACCGATGCGGATGGTCTGGCGTCGAAGGCCTTGGAGTTGTGGCAGCTGGCTCTGGACGGCGAACGCTTGGGGGACTGCGAGCGGCGCACGCTCCGGCCGCGCGGTCTCGACGAAAGCGCGCGGAGCAGGACGCCCAGGACGAACGAGGAGCTTTTTGTTACTACTAGTAAGGCACCTGTTACTACTAGCGAGGCGCTTGTTACTGGGAGTTGAAACCTGTGGGCCTTGATTGACCAGACTTTCTTGAGAATTTTGAGATGGACACATTCCTGTGGATGTAAGGGGAAGACGAACCACAGGATGCTGGGGTATGTTGTACGGCGAATTTTCTTGGACACTGACCTGTTGACTGAGAACAATCTGGAAAGCTTTGGATCTCCGTCCACCTGGGACGGCTGTGCCCATTGTGCCCTTTCCGTGTTCAGTGTGTTCAATGATTGATTGATGGGTAACCCTGGAAAAAGGATTGGGATCGCTGTTTCCATCTATTTTAATTTTAAGATATCTATTGAATGGAGCACCCAGTTCAATCACCAACAATCAACAGCTTGAGTTTGAATATCTAGTTTGAGGCACCTTTTTTACATCCAGGTCCTGTCCAAAGGACCAGCTTAATTGTGTGATTAGACCAGGGGCAAGTTTTTCCTCTTTCAGAAACCATAGAAACCAACGCGGCCAAGGTACATCCTCCAGAATTTGAATGCGACCACCGGGGCGAAGAAATTCCTGCTCTCCAAGAGCTTTGGCAGACATAGTGTATGATGAAAATGCCGGACAACTCGGATTGCCACCACCGTTGGAATCCGTTTGAGCATGTGGGGGGGGGGCGGTGAACCCAACAAGTTTTGACACATGTTGCAGTTGGCTCTTGTGAGTCAACCGCCCGTGCCATCAGACATTCCATGCTGCAAGAGCAAAAGCATGTTGAAGGGCCACTGTCTTGATGCACAAAGGGCATCCGAACACAAACATCAACGAACACAAACACCTATTTATGCAATCTATGGTGGTTTGATAAGGGTAGTTAGAGGGTTTCGATCCACAGCACATAGCAGCGGTTGCTCTTCTTGAGTCTCACTTTGGGGGACAGAAGCACAGTTCAGGAGAAGGGTACAAACTTCTTTCAGCTACTTCGAAAACCACCTTGCTGTTTTCAACCATCTTCAACCTCATGTAGATGGAGTTGCTTCCAGAAGTCACTCCTGCCCAGTTCTCCAGGTTGGACCCTGCAGTGACGCCTCCTGCCAGCGCCGCTGCCAGCAGCGGTGCGGCGCCTGCCGTCCCACCGCGGAGCTTGAGCGTGTCGAGGCGATCGACGGAGCCGGGGAAGCAGGGGTTTGGTTCACTTTGCCTGTGCTTCTGGCCTTGCATGTTACTGCATGGAAGAGCACATTTGATGGTTCTATAGAGCGATTCTTGGATGAGTTTGGTTTGGAAGAACACATAGGGGTGCACATAGTAGTACAATGGGGTAGCTACCATATCGGGTCCTACGGGCCTTGACAGCGGATCTTCGCATGACCGCCAAGGTTCCTTCGGTTTCTCATGGTTCTCAAGATACCGGAAGAGGTTCAGCGGGGTTTCGGCAATACACCGAATCCACCGGGTTGGGGGGACTGGTGACGCCTCTGCTGCCAGGGCAACTTTGTCCCCCGAATGGATTCTGTCCTTCATCGGCACCCTGCTGCTAGCGATCTTCTGTCACTCCGCTTCTTTGCGGAAGTCATAGAATGGAGACAGGAGAAAATCATAGAACATCAGTGCAATTGATTGATTGTATAGTGACTAGGTTCTTCAGAAGTTGATTGAACCACTGGACCACTGCTAGTTTTCCTTGCAAGAGTCGCTTTGTTTGTTCCGGGGTAGGGCAGTGTCAAACATGAAAGAATCTTCCGCTGTGGCAAACCAACGAATTTGATTTTTATCCTGGTCCTCTCCAATCCTGTGAAAGATGAGTTCGTCTCGCGCGCCAACAATGTTGATGCCAAAAGGGCAGAGTTCCAGAAAGAAAAAGCGGCACTCCATCGCGGCGGTGTTTTTGTGTTGGTTTTTCAACCCACGAAGAATGAATTGTGAAGAGTAAAGTCTGACCTTGAACGGGGGTTTTCGCACCATTTCGCACCCTTCAACAGTCCTTTTCATTTGCACTGGTTTGTTGGGGTGTTCTGGACCAGCAGGACCATCAGGGCTGGGGCCACACAGATCTTCGCATTCAGAGAATTCTTTGATCTATATACTCGTAGGTCAAGCGCCCCTAGTCTGGAGCTCATCTACATCACATTTTTCCGTTTTGCCAGATTTGACTACACAGCGCAAAAACGTTGCTGGGCCTTGCATTGCATTCCTTCGGACAATTCATGACAACTCACCCGCTACCCCTCGAGCAGCGTTCTTGTTGGTTTCACTGCATGAAGGCTCAAGGGAGAACCAGAGCCAGAGACATTCTGAGATGGTTCAATTGTTAGTAGCCTGGCAGATGAGGACATGCCACGGACATCATTTCAATAAAGATATACCGTGATTTACCACAAATGTAAGATGAGAGACTCTTTGATTTGGGTTGATACAGCCCAAGGCCCAAGGCCATGCAGACAAACAAACATTAGACCTGGGAGACCAGAAAGAAGCCTTGTGGCCCATTCTGCAGTCGTTGCTCATGGAATTGTCGAATCCGGCGAAGCGGATCAAAACCGGAGAGGAGTCCCTCTACCGTTTCTGGGCGAAATCGATGAAAGCCCCGAAACAGACGCTCTGGGTGAGGATCAACCCTGGGCCCTGACAGAAGGTCAAAGCCGCGATGGCAACAGGGATCAACAGCCCCTCTTAAGGTTTTGGGGAGGACAGCCCTCTTCTGGCCACCCTCCTTATAGCTCTCTTTTTGTTCCCAGTCTTGTACCAGCAATAGTACACCTCCCACCCACTTGTGACTGAACTAGTACCAACAAAATTCCCCCCATCAAGGTGTCATTGATGGCGTGAAGTACGACCGGGAGCTGCTGGAGAAAGCTGAGGGCGCTGTGGGGAAGGGGCGCAAGTTGTCGCTGGCCGACGCGGCGGATCTCTGGGAGGACGCGGGGAACGGTGCCTGGGCTCCGGGGTTCGGTGCTCTGGTGTGTCGGGGGCGCCGGGACTGAACTGACTAGTGATTCGTAGGACACGAGGGAATGACCCCCAATAATTAGTGATTCGGATCCATTCCCTTGAGCACGAGTCAGTTAAAAGAATTTGCACTGGCCCACTGGCTGGTGTTCTTTGGGACGAGCCAAAAGAACCAGGACGTCCCAGCTTGGGATGAGCAAATGCGGCAAAGGGGTAATGATTGGCTTAAGCCAGGCAGCTGTATCATTCACACACTTGGCCACTTAAAAGGGGGACATGGAGACTTTGATACCATACCACTCCTGGAGGGCTACATCATTGCCTTCATGGTGGATTCTTCCATGACCAGGGCGGGACGGTCGGATGAAGACGTGAATGGCTACCAATGCCCACATATATCTATATACATCTACTAATGTAGCTTTTTAGCCGTGATAAGAAAGCTGAATGCGAAGGCTGGGTTTCCTTTTTTTTGCATCGTTTTCTCTTTCAGCTACGGCTAGGCCGGCTAGGCGCAGCTGAGTTCGCTTCATTAGTGTCCGGCGGCTCGCGCGATTCTGCTCGGGCAGCCGTTCGGACAAGATTCCAAGCGCAGAAAAGCGAGGTAAAAACCTGAATGCCATGGAGAAACAGACGCTCTCCTACATCTTGGATCGCTTTAGCTTAACGGAGAAGGCTGGCTTTGGTTCTGGAGTTCTTCATGAGAAGCGACGTCTCTGTGAGTCCTCCCCCCAAGATCGCTCCCTTTGTTGACTCTTCCGTTCTCTGTCATGGGAGACTTGTGAGTGCGCAAGATCCGAGGATTGTAGGTAAGTTGAGGCTGTAATGATCCTGCACTGGCAGCAAGAACTTTCTCAGCTTTTACCGACCGCAGCCTTCGGTGCAGAATGCGTCCTTGCACATTTTCGAGAGGCTAGCAGTTTTCTGGAATCAAAGCTTCATCCCAAAGCTGGCTCCTTGGCAGCGACAGTAGGTGGAGGTAGATTTTAGGGATACTGCAGACACCTCACTCCCACCATCCTATCCTCTCATCATCTCAATCAGGCGGATTAGGCGTATACGGAGTACAGAGTGAATTCATACAGGTTTTAACCTTTTTCGAGCTTTATATAAGGACATGGGTCATTCTCATGTTGTTGTTGCCCCTCCCAAGTTTCTTGAGACGACTGGCTCCGCTTGAGGTTCCTTCTTCCGGACGGTGGACCGAATCCGATACGACCGGGAACTGCTGGAGAAAGCTCAAGGCTTCGCGGAAGCTGGAAACATCTCGCAAGAGCAGGCGAGGGGAACGTCCCAGAGGATGGGATCAGCGGAACATTGATCAGCGGAACAGTGAGGTTGGGATTCCCCCAGTTGCATACTGTACAAGGTTGGATGGATTAGAACCAACCTTTATATGAATGATTGAACAACTTGAAGATCGCTGAAGTGAAGGCCAAGAATCTGAGAGTGATGCGCTTCCGGTCCTTCACTTGAAGCGATTCTTTGAAAGAAATCACAGAGTGAAGGATCGGTCGGATCTCAAAGTTAGCTTAATTGCCCAAACTCAGCAAAAAACAATGACCAGGTAATTGAGACATCATTGAATTTAAAGTAATCCCATGTGAATAGAGAAACATCGTGTTGAGAAGTTCTTTCATACTCCATGTTGTCTTTGTTCAAATTGGAAAGGAGAGAGAAAAGCCGCCGCGCTTTGCGCACACCCAGTGAACTTCTTCCACCTTCCCGTCAGAGGACCACGGGGGACCCATCGGTGACAGCTGAAATGAATTGAGGCCATGGAGCTGTGGTCTGATGCCGTCGATGGGGATCAGATCATTGACTGCGGGGTGCGAACCCTACAGCGTCTCGGACGGCAGAAGCAGTCTTTGCAAGGAATTGGCGGACGCAGACATGGTTTTTGCGTTGATTTCTGGGGAATTCACTTTTAACTATTTGGTGGGAGTCACTTGTGTTCTTCTTGTACACCGTTAATGCGTTTTGACTGAAGGTGCTCTGCAAGTTTCAGGTGAGATCTTTTGGACACCACGGTGTTTCTCTTGCAGCAGCTGGCTTTTGTAGGTATGTCATTGAGAACTTCTCGATCAGTGAAGGCGCTCAGACGTATCTGGAAGGAGAGCTGCTCGGCGCTGCTGGTTCGATGGGATCGGTGCTTTTCGGTTCTTCTTGGTGCCTTCAGAGTCCTTTGGAGCGATCTCCACAGACCAAATCGTTGGGAGTTATCAGAGGAGGACACTCAAAGCCAGCGCATTCTTCCAAGGCTCAAAGCCGCTGCTGCTGATGAGGTGGCAGATGCTTTTGACGTGATCTCCCCAGGCTATGGGAGCCCACCACCCTCCACTCCCAAGGCTTCGCGGGCCTCAGCGGTGTCCACCGCGCCCTCCGAGCCGGCCACCCCGCGCGCCACGGCGTCGCGGGCGTCGTCGCCGAAGGCATCCACACCGGCGGCCTCACCAAAGGCAGCACCCAAAGCGGCTACGCCCAAAGCTACTCCCAAAGCTACTCCCAAGGCTGCTACACCCAAGGCTTCTCCAAAGGCGGCCACACCCAAGGCAGCTACGCCCAAAGCGGCCACACCCAAAGCAGCCACACCTAAGGCCACCCCCAAGGCTGCCACACCAAAGGGGACCCCAAAGGCCAGTGTCACTCCAAAAGCCACCCCAAAAGCCACACCCAAGTCAGCCCCACAGGAGCCCGATGATCCACCAGAACCATCGCCGAAAGTGGCCAAGACGGCCACGCCCAAATCCACCCCGAAAGCATCTCCCAAGGCCAAGGCGAAGGCGGCGCCCGCCGCGCCCGCCGCGGATGCAGCGGAAGCAGAAGCGCCCACACCGGCGTCCAAAGCAAGCCCGAAAGCTTCGAGCCCGGCGCCCACCCCGCCGCGGACACGAATCAGTAGCAAGTCACCACAGCCACCTGAGATCCCGCTGTCTCCAGAGCTGCCGAGCTTTTCGAGTGCGGCAAAGCGACAAGGGTCTCCCAGTCCTCCAAGAAGCAAAGAAAAACCAGCTGAGGCAGAGGCACATTTCAGACGTTGAATCTCGGAACAGGAGTTTTAGACTAGATAATTAGATAATGGTTTTTGTGTGCCACGAACTGAGCGCTGGATCCGCGCCAGGTTGCACCACTTGAGCTCTATCTAATTACTTTGAAGACTATCGTTATCGCCAGTGTCACCAAAGTCAAACCGCCAGAGTTAGGAGCTGTTTTGGGAAAAACAACATTTTGACAACTGCCTGGACAACAGGCCGAGGCAAAGGCTAGGTTTGAAGTTTTAAGTGTGTTTTCTGCAAGGTCTCAATTCTCAAAGTTAATCTGAAGCAACCTCCTTGCGATGCGATGCGATGCGCTCATTGACTCACAATCCTGAACAGCTGGATTTCGGTGCTCGAAGGCCCCAGCAAAGGAAGCCTCAGTTGAAGAGGCAGAGAGGGTACATGGATTTGGTGTGAATGGGTTGAGGATGTCTTGGTGGGTCCAGCACACCTTTTTGGCAAACCAGACAGAGTCGCAGTATGATGTTCAGAGGTGTATATATGTGGGTACTGCATGTGTATACTTTTCTGAATTGGCCAGGAGCCGCCTGATGTGTGGCAACAAGAGAAGAATGCTATGGAGGCCTTAGAGAAGGCCAAGCTGGCTGACCAGCGGCAAGCGGCGCT